CGTGTCCTTCATAGGGACACGCATGAATGTGGAAACCATCATTCTCAGCAAACTGACACAAGAACAGAAAATCAAACACCGAATAGTATCACGCATAGGCGGGTGTTGAACAATTAGAACACGTGGACACAGGGAGGGGAGCATCCCACACTGTGGTCAGTTGGGGGGGACTGGGGGGGATGTTGGGGGGGTGGGGAGGGACAGTGGGGGGGGTGGGGGTGGGAGGTGGGAGTGGGGGCGGGGGGGGGTGGGGGTGGGGGGTGGGAGTGGGGGCGGGGGTGGGGTGGGGGTTGGGGAGGGAGGGGATGGATAACGTGGGGAGAAATACCAGATATAGGTGATGGGGGGAGGAAGGCAGTAAACCACCTTGCCGTGTATGTACCTATGCAACAATCATGCGCGATCTGCACGTGTACCCCAGAACCTAAAGTGCAAATAAATAAATAAATAAATGCATGGTGAGAACCGTGCTCCTTCGTTAGCAAGTACATGCGCCCAGTCCCATAAGGGCCTTGAATCGGGGTAATGGAAAATTCATTCAGGTTGAAGGGACTAAAGGGCTTGAGTCTTGTTTCCAAGCCAGAGCCTCCCCAGGACTGCGACGCCCTTACCTGTAGGTGGCGATAAATGCCGCCGAAAAGCCGCTAAGATAGCGGAGTGAGGTGTGCTGCAGCGAACTGGCCTCTGGACCAGCCCGAGCCGCCCAGGGAGGCCGAGTGCATCTGTTGGACCCAAGAAAAAAGATATTGGCCAGGGGAAGGGAACGAAAGGAACATTCTTCCTCGCTACCTTACAGAGGCGAGTGCTCATCTACACTAAAGCAACAGTCTAAAGTAGGTGCTCATAAACTACTGGAAATTGTATGCACAATTACACATTTTTGTGGGAAGCAGAGGGTCCATAAACATCAGATTCTCAGAGAGGACAGTGTTCCAGAAAAGCTTGAGAATCACTTCTCCAAGACTTGACATCTTTTTAAAATGAATGCCAGGAAGAACATTTTCCTTGACCTTTAGGTGCTTTCATTCTCATCTCAAAAACAAAACTCTGAGCTCAGGCAAATTGAACACAGAGGAGCTCCTGGGGGAATTCCAGTTACGCTGCCAACTTCAACAGGAAGAAAGAAGCAGCTCGCATTGGTCTTCTGCTGTTTGCTTAGTTAGAAAGACACCATTTTGCCAGCCGAAGGCTGAGTTTCATTTGAAACAGAGTCTTGCTCTGTTGCCAGGCTAGACTGCACCGGTGCAATCTTGGCTCACTGCGATCTCCGCCGCCCAGGTTCAAGCATTCTCCTGCCTCAGCCTCCTGAGTAGCTGGGATTACAGGCACCCACCACCATGTCCAGCCTGATTTCTTACTCTAGAAATTAGGTGTAGTGTTAGGTTGAAAAGGCAGGGACTCAGGTAGTTTTCCCAGTTGGGACTGAACTTTCTCATCAGAGAATGGGCCTCAGAAACAATATTCCCAAACTTGTAGGTGGGTGTCATAGATTCAGGGTATGGAAAAGAAACCTCAAACAAGAGAAATAATTACAATAAGAAATGGATTTTAGTTTTTTCCCTGTAACAGTTATACTTTTTTTATTTTTTGAGACGCTGCCTTTGGGTGACGTTTTCTTTGACTATACTCTTTTTTTTTTCTTTTTTTATTGAGACGGAGTTTTGCTCTTGTTACCCAGGCTGGAGTGCAATGGCGCAATCTCGGCTCACCGCAACCTCCGCCTCCTGGGTTCAGGCAATTCTCCTGCCTCGGCCTCCTGAGTAGTTGAGATTACAGGCACGCATCACCATGCCCAGCTAATTTTTTGTATTTTTAGTAGAGACGGGGTTTCACCATGTTGACCAGGATGGTCTCGATCTCTTGACCTCGTAATCCACCCGCCTCGGCCTCCCAAAGTGCTGGGATTACAGGCGTGAGCCACCGCGCCCAGCCCAGTTATACTTTATAAACAACGGGCTATCATGGAAAACTGTCCTTGCTTCCAAATCAGCAGAGGACCATCGTATGTATTGTCAGGTCTTTACATAAGAGTGCAACCTTTATTTATGCTTCTTTCTGAGTAGAGAATAAAATTTAAAACTAATTAAATGAAATTTAAAAAAAAAAAAAGAAAAGAAGAAGAAAAACATTAGCCTCCATCCCCCAAGTCATCTCCCCCCCTGCTGGCTTGATGAGACTTGGAAGTCTCACTGTTGTCATTCCTTTGGTTTAAGGCTTTGAAGGTACCATATCTATAAACACCGTATATATTGCCAGCAATAGCTTAGCTCAGCTTATTCGTCCGCACCTCTGAAATTCTGATAATGGGCCCCACAAAAGTACAGGAGCCTGCTTATTATACTCTATCCAAGACTCTGTCCTCGTGCCTTGCTTAGTAAGCCAGCTACTAGGATGAAGCTCGGCTCTGCTCATGTCAGACTCTCTTCCCTGAGTCTGGAAGTCTCACTCCAAATCCAGATCAGGAACTGGGGCCCCACTGCCAGCTGAGACATGTCCCTGACAGTGCCTGCCTGCCTAGTGTCTTATGCAACTTCCCGCAGCCTGGCTTCCCTGCTGTGTGCGCCTCCACCTCCCCCATCCCCAACTTCTCCCTCTCTGTACACTTGATGTTTTGCTGCCTTCACTTCCCTGATGTTAAGGCTACTCTGGACCATGCCCTGCTGACTCTCTCCTAGCCCCTTTGGATATAGTGTTCTTCCAGCATGCCTGGGCTGGACTCCCTTCTGTCCCGGAGCACCCCTGCCTCCCCTCTCCAGCCCTACCCCACAGAATAGGCCTAGTTTAGAAGGCCCCGAGTGTGTTCTCAGCATTGATACTGGTGGGTTCTGACAGTCTTCCTGATGATGGAAAAAAAATAGGGCTTTAGGAACTGAACATGTATTTACTTGTTTTAATTCAGATTTTACATATGCTCCTTCTGCTTCCTTGAGTGAAAAGATTTCCGTCCTTCGAAATTTTTGCAGAAAGAGGTATGTGTGTTTTGCTACAGTTGGTGCCAAACCGTGCTGTTTTAGTTGCTGTTTGAATTCTACGTTTTTCAAAAATGTTGGACCATATCGAGATAAAGGACAACTGTATTCTGGAATTTTCTGGAAGGAATTTAGATTCACTCACCTGGGTTCTTCCCCTACGCAGCAGTGCCCGGGTTCTAAGCTGTCATATCTCAGCTTTCAGTGTTACCTCCCAGAAAGGACTTTCTGCTGTCCTATGTGAATACCAGAATCTCTCAGCTCACTTTTGTTAACCCCTTATTTGTTTCCTTCATGACACTTGTCGAAGTTTAAAGGCTTTTATTAGCTGGGTGCGGTGAATCACACATGTAATCCCAGTGGCAGGTGGATCACTTGAGGCCAGGAGTTTGAGACCAGCCTTGCCAACATGACAAAACTCTCTCTCTACTAAAAATGGTGGCACACACCTGTAATCCCAGCTACTCGGGAGGCTGAGGCACACGAATCACTCGAATCCAGGAGGCAGAGTTTGCAGTGAGCTTAGATCGTGCCATGCACTCCAGCCTGGGCAACATAGTGAGGCCTCATCTCACACACACACACACACACACACACAATAATTTTGTTTGTTTGTGTTAGAGTGCCTTCCCCACGAGATTATAAGATCCAAATGGCAGGAAACATGTCTGGTTTCTAAAATTATACTCCTAAACCCTAACATAATGCCTAGCTGTTCAAGAATTCTTTGCTGAGTGACAATATTTTCCAGTTGAAATGACAATAAAAAACTCTAGACCCTACCTATCTCTGATGACCATCAAGTGACCGGTGAGAGGAAGCATCCCTAATCCTATTCTACTTACAAATCTAGGATTTTAAAAATCTGTTCATTGTCAAGGACCAGCTGCAGGGGCTTCCAAGACCTCCTGAGGATTGGGACGTAGGCAGCTCCGTGCAGCCTCGCTACTTCCCTGATTTCCACATCAAGACAGCAATCCTTCAAGACGCCTACAAGGTGCCTACTGTCCTTGCTCTTTTGTTTTTCTCTCTGGTATCGCAATTTGCTATTAGGAAAAAAATCTGAAACCCATTCGTACTATGATTTTACATAGGAGGAGTATTAGCATTTAACCACTTAGACACCAGAGCCGTTGGAATGAACCTGCCGGTAGACATTCTGGTCTCATTTGACACTAGAGGAAGCAATTTAAGGAAATGGGCCTAAAGGGGCCTGCACCTCGGAGTGTGTTCACTCTATTGCCAACCAGCTTATGCTCTTTAGTGATGAAGCTTTAGAAGGGAGGGGGAAAGAAAGAAAATGAGAGTAGAACTACGTGAGGTTGAAATCTTACTGTAAGTTCCTTAGCTTTTGCAGTCTGGCATAATATGAACTGTTCAATGTTAATGGCGATGTTTATAAAAATATGAGATGGACTGTTTTTTTTTTCTGGGAGAAAAAAAATGAGTCCCAGGTGTTTTCTCTAGTTGGACAACTCCGGTATCCCTGGGCTAAACACCTTATCCTCAGACAGAGGCCAGGTGTACTCCTAAGTCTCCACGTTGGTGTCATAATATGCGTTCTAAGATCTCTCTGCAAGACATTTTTTGAAAAGCTTTCCCGCCCTGATAAATAAAACTGATTGGTAGTTAAGATAACACTTCTGTTTGCCTTTCCGAATCTTCTCGCAGAAATCATGCCCATTTGTTGGTGCGAGTCTAGGTGGTCGGTCCCTTGGAGCAACAGTTACTTCTCTTCCTCCGACCAGATGAAATCTCAGTCAGGGAAGCTGGTGAGAAGCAGCCCCACTCTCAGGGAACTTCCCTGAGCCTCACCTTACATGTCTGTAAAATGTGACCCAGAGACCTGTCTCACAGACTCCTCCTTGGGGTCTGTGCGTCTGTAAAGCCTTCTCACGTTTTAGGTCCAGGTCAGGTCTCCCCTTTTCTCTGTGCAGTTTGCCAGTGGTTTCTTGTTGTTGTTGTTGTTTTGTTCGGTTTTTTTTGTATCACCTCCCGGAGCCTATGGTTCCTAGAACTGATACAAATGAATTCCTGTTTAATTTTATTCTAATTTTTAGACGAGAATAATGTGAGCTAATCTGATCACACTAGGCAGATTGTAGGCTTGATGAACGGAAGTTCTGGAATCATCCCTCAGCATTCCATTTCCAAATACGGTGTATTCAAAATAATAACAGAACAGTCAGATAATAACAACAATTACCATGTAATGACTGTTATTTCCCAAGCACTCTGCTGAACTCTCTACAGTCAACTCAGTTAACAGCCGTGTGATCATAACAGCTCAGCTAACAGCACCATGAGGTAGATAGTAATAGGGCCCAATTTACAGATGAGAAAACCAAGGCTCAGAAATTGTCTTGCTGGAGTCCAGATGTAAGTTAGCAACTGGAATTTTAACCCTTGCATGCCCGACTTCAAAGCTCTTTGCATTACTGGCTTACTGGTGGGTGTAGTCCGAGTGCTCTCCTCCCCACCAAGTCTGCCATCCTTCTCTTACAGTCACAGCATGAAGCGGACAACGAAAGACAGACAGAGAGAGAGAGAGAGAGAGAGAGAGAGAGAGAGAGAGATCGGTTTTATTAAGACAAATTACACATTTTATTTTCTTTTTCCTTTCTAAAAGCCTCACCGTGAAAGATTGATCCCACAGAATTTCTAATTCAAGAACACATTTCATAAAACATTTCAGAGATAGGAGAGAGAATATGAATGCTAGAAAATAGATTAGAAGGTGTCCCCTCCAGGGACCCGGAATGATCAGACATTCCTTCCTGAACGGCATCCTGGTCACTTTCCTCCACTTCTCTACTCTCATTTTCCTTTCACCCAACCATAGCATTCAAATAGCAGAGGGCAGGTGACTCAGAGGTTCAACCTCCTTCTGAGCCTTTACCCTCCTCCGTCCCAGCCTCCCATGCCTATCTGTTTAGGTTAATAACACCAAGACAGTGAGACTCAGCCCCTCTGCCAGGCAGCCAGAGAAGATAGCAGGAAGACACAAGCTTCTCTGTGGTTTCCTTTCCTTATCTCAGGACTTCCCTCCCCTTTACCCATCCTATCAGCGCGCGCGTGCGCACACACACGAACACGCACGCACACATGCACGCGCGCACACACGCGCGCATGCACACACACATGCATATGCATTTTAATAATGTAATAATCTTTCTGTAAGATCAGTATCCAATTCCAAGCATCCTTTACCTTCATCCAAAACAACACAACCCATTATAGATCCAGTGAATACAGAAACCAGGCCAGTCCTTGGGGAAGGCAAGGCTTTTCTGCAGCCCCCACGTGGCAGTCTCATTACAGGCACTAGGGAGACGTAGGAATCTCTGTGTTCTTTAAATAAAGGCCCTGCCAAGTGAGCTGGAGATTCCCCTATTTCCATGCCCCTGCTAAAGCCTCCAGGGAGAGAGAGCTCTGGGGGCCTCCATAGCTGTCATCACACCTCCTCTTGGCACTAAGTTGGCAGCGAAGGAAGTAAATAGGGGAAGAAAATAGTTTTCCAGTGTTTTCTCTCCTTTTTAATTTTCTTCTTCACAGCAGAATTTTTTTTTCCACAAGGCACAATGCTTTCTTTGTTTTAACAAAACCTGGGGAAATTCCATCTGGTCCGGGTTCGAGAGAGGACAACGGCTTCCTGGGTATTCCTGTCGATAAGGCCTTTGGGGAATGGCTGGGTGAACAGCCAAGGGAGAAAGGGAAGGGATGGTTTCTGTCACTGGATTGAACTGTAAAGGGGCTGCAGGATGACAGGTGGTAGCAGGAATTCCAGTGGAGTTTGTGTGTACAGTGACTCCACAGCAGAGCTGACACCTTCACAGGCTGGGTGTACTCTGGCAGAAGGAAAGGTTGCAACATCACCAGGGCGGGACATGTGCCAGAGGTACATACCAAGGCACTTGTAAAGTTGAGGCTGCCGGTGAAGTTCCAAGAAGCCCTTTAAAGATGGCGTAGAGGGAGGAGAAGCCAAGGGCAGCCCAAGGCCATCTCACCACTACTGCAAGGAATGGTCTATGGAAACAACAGATTCAAGAACATGTCTATTGCAGGTTCCTTGATACATGCTCTCTACTGGCCAGGAACTTAAGAGCTCTTCCTTGGAGGAGCGAGGGTGCTCAGGTCAAGGGGGAAGGGTAGGAACTTAGAGAACTCATCTGGTGTGTGGCTGGTATGTAGAGAGAGAGTCATTCTATCCCTCTGGCTATCCCTTCCAGGCTAGCTTCTGCCGTGCCTCCCTTCCCTTCCTCTACCCTGTTTCACGAGTAATCTGAGAGGCTTCATTGATTATACTGGGTAGAGGGTTGGGGCTGGGGTGGGGGTAGAGGGGGTGGGGGTGGGGGGGGGACTGCAGCAGTCTGGGTGGGTAGTCACACCTCTTATTATCCCAGAGCCCTGGTTATAGTTTCTAGAATTGATGAGCAATGTCATTGAGACCCCAGGCCCAAAGGAGCCAAGCAATGATGACAGTGAGAAAATGTCAGAAGGGACACGTCTTTCCTCTCTGAGCCTCCTGTGTTCTCACCTGCTCCTGGTCCTCCCATGAAGGAGGATCACACTGATAGGTCATCTGACCTGGCCTTGCTGCTGGCCTTACTAAGACGTCGCTTGTCGGTATGGTAGCCATGGGGGAGGCGGTGACCCGGTGAGACTCCATTGGGCACCTCAGGCTTCTGATCATAAGGAACCTGGATGAAACCTTGCCCAGGAGTCTGCTCCTGGCCTCGCACTTGCTCAGTGGCCAGGTTATCTGTATTTTGTTGGGAGGCCATATTATTGCTGAAGGAATGGAAGAATTTCCCCCCAGGGCCGCTCTGCAGGCACTGGTTGAAGTCAGGGGGTGGTGTGCAGCTCTGGACTATGCTCGCAGAGGGGCCAGAAAGCTGGCACTTAGCCATGTCCTGCCGCGGCTTGACGCATCGCTGTCGGATCTTCTTCCAGCCCAGGTGGTAGAGTTCAGCCAGGCTAAGGAAGAGGGACAGCGCAGCCACAGCCAGCATAAAGACAATGAAGACATTCTTCTCCGTGGGTCGGGATACGTAACAGTTGACCGGGTGGGGACAGGGACTCCTGCGGCAGACGTGCAGGGTGGTCAGGAAGACTCCGTAGATGAGGTACTGGCCCACGATGAAGCCCACCTCCATGGTGGTGCGGATCAGGATGCTGCACACGTAGGTGTGGAGCAGAGTGCCCTGGAGCACGATCCTCCCATTCCCTTCCTCCCAGCAGGACGGCTCCGCCTTCTCGGCCACCGGGTACTCGTAGGAGCCGGAGCCGCCGCCCTCTCTGCCCTTCTGGGCCTCCCGCAGCCGGCGCTTCTCCTGCATGCGCACGGTGTGCATGGCGTGGCCCATGTACACCAGGGAGGGCGTGGAGACGAAGATGATCTGCAGCACCCAGAAGCGAATGTGGGAGATGGGGAAAGCCTGGTCGTAGCACACGTTCTGGCAGCCGGGCTGAATCGTATCACACCGGAAATCAGCCTGCTCGTCCCCCCAGGAGGACTCGGCAGCTGTGCCCAGCACGAGCATGCGGAATATGAAGAGGACCGTGAGCCAGACCTTGCCCACCACGGTGGAGTGCTTGTGTACTTCCTCCAGGAACTCTCCCAGGAAGCTCCAGTCGCCCATCTTGGCTCAGCTAGGGGACAGACGCCAAACCTTCTGCACATGGGGAAGAGAGAAAGAGAGAAAAGGAGAAGGATGTTCCGTGAAGGTCTGGCAGGTACATCACGTTCCGGGAGTCCACTGATCCATACCAATGCGTTCTTGAAGAAAATGAACTTAGAAGGCAAAGAGCCCAAAGAAAAGCTCTTTCATTTCCCAGCAAAAATAAAGAGGAGATTCAAAGTAGCGATATTAGCAAGATGAGAGCCTGGCTCCCACACTTTAACAGATAGAAACACACACACACACACACACACAGAGGTGTGTGTTACAATATAGATTCTGCTCTTGCCCCACTAATTCTACCTCAGGAGGTCTTGGATGGCCCCCAGGAATCTGGATTTACAGCAAGCAGCCCAAGTGATTCTGATGCAGGCAGTTAGGGACTGCACCTGGAGAAACGTGAGTATTAAAAAGAACACAGGATTAGAGTTTACAAATGTGACTCTGGGAATTTACCTCACAGAGTCTGTTTCTTCATCTCTCAGATGGGGTTGGGAATAGCTACACCAGAGAATTCCGAGGATTAAATGAGATAAGGTGTGTGATATTCTGAAAATCATTCCACCAGTTCCAAATGTTTCAATGGCTGTTGGATGGAAAGGATTTTTTTATGGCTCCAGAGGGCAGAACTAGGCGGAGGAGGAAGGAGTGAGGGTGGGATTGGCAAATTTGTCCCCGCAGGAAGCACTCTGCAAAAATCAGAACTGTCCACCATGGGCCAGCGGTGTTGGGTGGTGGTAAACAAAAAGAGTGCTTTGGTCCTACCAGCTAATGGTATCGCAGATGGGCGCTGACTTTCCTGGCTGGTAAGGCAATGTTGATCTCCCGTGCCTCAGTGCAACACACCATTCCAGCCACGCAGCTCAGCTCACCCTGCTGCTAAGTTTGTGTGTCTCATTTAAATAAGGTTCCCACACACAGATCTGCTCACTCTTAGGTCCAGAATAAATGTCCCCAAACTTTATGTCCCATACAAAATCCTCCCTCATCTGGCCCCGGTCTGCTTTTCCAGCCTCTTCCTGCCCGTCCACCTGACTACCTTTTGTCCAGCCATGCCAAGTCTTCCCACGTGCTCTCCTCCTGTACCCCTATGTGTCCCCTCATCTGTAGATGAATCCCATTTACCTTTCAAAACGTAACCAGTCATTGGTTCCTCCAGCCCTCCCTCCTCCCTGGAGATAAGCCTCTTCAGCTGCTGTGATGGCCCCCGGGACACTTACTGGTCTCCCAGTGTTTGCTGCCTTGTGTTGTAATCCTCAGCCTCTCTGTGTTCTCCCAGTAGGGACTGTTTGAAAATGGAGACTGTCTTTTCTTCTGTATCACCAGAGCCTGGCCCAGAGTAGGTGTTTAGAACATCTTACTTGAGTGAAGGAAGGAGGGGCTGACAGGCACTGTGGTTTCCTACCCAATAGCAAACCAATTCCCTGCTTCTTGCCTTCCTCCTATTGGCAGGGTGAAAAAGCCGGAATCACTTTCTCAATCTCCTCTGCAGTTAGTTCTGGTAGGTGAGGTATGGGGAGAATCTGAAGTAGAGGGAATGCTCCAGAAAAGGTTTTTCTACCCCCTAATAAATGGAGTGCTTCCATCCCCCTGTGAAGAAGAGGGAACCTCACAGTGCTGCCATCCCCTGGGGAACAGGAGGGAGCCTACTCAGAGTGCTCCAATCCCCCAGTGAGTAGGAGTGGCCTTGCTCACCCCTATTGCTTCCTGCCTGTGGATGGAGTTGCGTGAACCAAGATGTCTGAAGCTGTCCAGAGAATCTCAAAAATGTCAGCCAGTGCCCTGAGGCCTCTGAATCAACTCTTGAGGCGCCTACCTCCAGAATTCTTACTTAGTTAATAATAAATGCCCTTATGCTTTGGCCAGGTGCGGTGGCTCATGCCTGTAATCCTAGCACTTTGGGAGGCAAGGGTCGGGGGGGATCACAAGGTCAGGAGTTCAAGACCAGCCTGACTAACATGGTGAAACCCCATCTCTATAAAAAAACAAACAAACAAAATAAATAAATGCCCTTATGGTTTAAGTCTCTAATCATTCCTAACCAACAGCATGACAAAGATCTCAGAGGGAATGGAACGTAAATATTCCCTTCTTAGAATCATAAAACCTCAGATTTGGGTGGGACCTTAGAGGTTGTCAAGTTTGAACTTTGACCTTCATATCTGGGCTGCCAACATGCTCCTGGCTTCTATCTGAATGTTCTTTATGCTTATGGGGAAAGATGGGTCAGGGGGGTGCATTTCAGAGTCCGGGTTTCCTCAGCTCCTGAGTTGATTGTTGCCTTGACAGGGACCAGCCTCCTTACCCTGCCTTCTCTCAGACCCCAGGTCCCAAACCTTGAGAGCGTACAGAGTCCCCGGGAATGAGGGAGTTTCTGAGTGAGCGGAAAGGGTTTTATCTCTGCTCCTCTCTATATCAAAGACCCACCCAGGTCTTGAAGCCTTTCATGTCATTTGTGATCAGACACGTGTCCCATTTCCCTAGGTGGTGAAGCGCCCCCTGTTTCAGCCTCCAAATGTGGAAAATTGTGGGGCATGTGCTCAAAAGGAAAATGGCTGATTAGATAAGAGTTTGAATGGTCTGTCGTCTCTTCTAGGCTCATATACAGTGTTAGCACCTTCAGGGTCAGCCACACACGTGCAGTGACTGGACTCTGGTGAGTGTCTGAGAAAAAAGAGGTAGGGAGCGAGGGGAGGGCTAAAAAGAAGAGAAGAAAAGGGAATGACAAGTGGGAGTTGGAAATGGAAAGAAAGACCATGTAAGGCTTAAGAAAAGATAGATGTGGAAGTTGGATTTACTGAGGTTCAACAAATCCCCGTTGCCATCTGCTGGGCTTGCATAGATGATTCAATCTGTGTTTCACTTTCCTCACCTGCGAAATGGACATACCGTTAACTCATAGAGTGCTATGAGATGATGCGTGCAAAACACTTAGCACAGTGCTCAGCAAATAAGAACTGAATAAAAGGCAGCCATTACTAGCAGTGAGAGTGGTGGGGAAGGATGACAGTAGAAGAAGGAGGGAGAAAACAGAAAGTAGAGAAAGGTGCATGACAAAGGAGGAAAGACATGGGAGCAAGAGTAGAAGGGGAGGGAATGAGAAGGAAATGGAAATAGAAAGGAAACAAACAAATGTCATAATCTTCCAGGATTCGGGGCAAGTTTTCCACATTCAGTCCCTGAAGACTTTTCCCTTGATCTCACTCTGTCATTCATTCCTTGCAAGTTGCCAAGGAAGTATAAAAAGAGTTCCAGGCAAAGAATGTGACTCTTTGGTCTGGTCTGCCAAGTGGCTTGACTGCTGATTCCTTCACTGCGGGCCAAGGAATTGTACCCGGAAGAGGTAAGGCACAGGTACAAGAAAGCAGCGCCTTGGAAAACCAGAAAGACCGTGTCAGGAAGGATGTCTTATTGGGAGGAAACAAGAGAAACTAGCCGAGGAGGTGAGGGGGTAAGGCAGACCTCCCGGGCCCGCCGGAGGAAAGAGAGTGGAAGACTTTTCATTTATGACTTCCTGCTGACACTCAAGGTCAGAGAAACTTAAAATTGCTACCATGTACCAGATGCTCAGTTTATAATGTGAAAGGTCGCTGGCTGAAGTTAGTGTTCCAGCTACCTTGGCTCCCTTTGGATACCCCTATCTCAGCCAGAGAAATGTGTAGATTAGATACTCAACGAGTTCACTGGGCGTATAGCACATAAAATGCTTTGTAGATGATTATCTGCTTCTTGGCAGGAAGCGTGTTAGGAGGGGCAGAGGAAGTTGCCCATGCCATGAATAAATCCTATCAAACACAATGGCAGTTTACCTCACGGCTTGAGCGGTTACCCTCAGGGGCTTCCTTCCACTTAGACAGTCCAGACTTCTTAACTTGCCATTTGAGACCCTGTACGGTCTCGTGTTATCTCTTCTCCACCGTTGTCCTCACACACTCGGTGCTTAAGCTCCACAAGTCCCCATACGTACACACACATTTCCGCATTTCTCACCCATGTATCTTGGCTTCTTGTGTTCCCTCTGCCTGGACTGTCCGTCCCTTTTATTCATTCATTTAATAAGTTTATTGAGCGGCTGCAGGGTGCCAGCTGTCATTCTAGACAATGAGGAGACAGCAGGAAGGAGGGGAAACAAGCAAGGATTCCCTGCCTTCACTGCATGTGACTGCCTCGACACCCCTTAATTAAGAGGAGACATTAAACACACGATTTCAATAAAACGTGATGTGTGTTAACATTAAGGAAGTATAAGGTGTTATGGAAATGTGCGGCAGAAACCTGAATCCGGTTTATGGGTTCGGGGAGGGTGTTAGACAATTGTGTTCTAAAGCCCTCTGCCGCTGCTACAAGCTGTGAAATTAGCAAGGCAAAAAGAGATGGTCCCTAGAACCTGGAAGAGAACTGTCCCATCGCTAAAGGTTCTTCGCTCCAAAACCTTCAACATTCTGTTTCAACAAGTCCTGTCCTGGGATAAAGCAAATTTTGGAGGGGCCATTAGGGAACTTGTTTGGCAAAGCAGCACTGGTGCTTGCGTAAGAGGAAGAGGGCCAGAGGAAGGATTTTGTGTATAGTGAGCACAAATCATTGCATGCCTTTACTGCGTGTACTCTATGGCTAAATGGCTGGAAATAAAGCGCAGGCCCCTACATTCCTAATCCTGTGCTCCTGCGGCTGTTTTGTCTGTCTGTTTTGTTTTTGTTTTTGAGACACAGTCTCACTTTGTCACCCAGGCTGGAATGCAGTGGTGCCATCTTAACTCACGGCAACCTCCGCCTCCCAGGCTCAAGCAATTCTCCCTGTTTCACCCCCTGAGTAGCTGGAATTACAGGCGCGCGCCACCACGCCCGGTTAATTTTTATATTTTTAGTAGAGATGGGGTTTCACCATGTTGGCCAGGCTGATCTCAAACTCCTGACCACAGGTGATCCACCCTCCTTGGCCTCCCAAAGTGATTGAATTATGGGTGTGAGCCACCACACCCAGCCACATGCTCCTTTTTATGGTGACGGGGCCAGTGTTTCTCAAAGAAAATCATTTCAGAGCAACCCAGGTTAATCATAAACTCATAGCCAGACCTCTTCCCCTGACTCCACAGATCTACAGCGAAATGGAGTCTTCTAAAACTGACCTCAGCCCTCTTTGGTGTTTTCCTGAACTCCAAAAGACTCTAAATTACCATCCAGCATGTAGGATACATTCTCACACTTGCTTATATATTTCCTTTCACTTGCTTTCCAAAAATTCGTCTGTCAGCCAACGTGCAGAGACTTTGCTGAGTGCCCACTGTGGAACAGTACCAAAGAGGAGCAAGGCCTGACGCTTGGTGGGCACTCAATGATGTACATGAAATGAATGAAATCAGCTGGGCATGGTAACTCACACCCGTAATCCCAGCACTTTGGGAGGCTGAGGTGGGTGGATCACCTGAGGTGAGGAGTTCAAGACCAGCCTGGCCATCATGGTGAAAACCTGTCTGTACTAAAAATATAAAAATTAGCCCAGGGTGATGGTGGTGGGTGCCTGTAAACCCAGTTACTCAGAGGCTGAGGCAGGGAATCAATTGAATCTGGGCGGCAGAGGTTGCAGTAAACCGAGATCATGCCAGTGCACTCCAGCCTGGGCAACAGAGTGAGACTCTGTCTGAAAAAAAAAAAAAAATGAATAAAATTAGCCATGATTCCTTCCTCAAGTGTTTAAGAGCTTTTTCTCTCAAATGCGGAGTATGCTTCTCAAAATCAAAAGCCCTGTCTTCTACTTTGTATTCTTATTGCTTTAAGTTCTCTCATTTGGTACATAATAAATGCTTTCTTAATGATGGAAGAAAACATTTGGCTAGCAGTAAGATTGCAAAGTGGTCCTAAGGAGACAAATCTCTCTTCTTAAGGTCAGCAATAAACATAAAACCTTACGATAGGCCAGGCGTGGTGGCTCAAGCCTGTAATCCCAGCACTTTGGGAGGCCGAGGCGGGTGGATCACAAGGTCAAGAGATCGAGACCATCCTGGTCAACATGGTGAAACCCCGTCTCTACTCAAAATACAAAAAATTAGCTGGGCATGGTGGCGCGTGCCTGTAATCCCAGCTACTCAGGAGGCTGAGGCAGGAGAATTGCCTGAACCCAGGAGGTGGAGGTTGTGATGAGCCGAGATCGTGCCATTGCACTCCAGCCTGGGTAACAAGAGCGAAACTCCATCTCAAAAAAAAAAAAATAACCTTACGATAAGTAAATAAAAATAAAAGCTTACATACATTCAAAAAGTGCTTCTACATTCTCTCATTGGTTCCGAGAGAGCAAGATCATATTTGTTCTGTTCAAGACTGCATACCTTCAGAATGTTACAGACATTCTATTTTTATTGTTGAGTGAATGATTCCTCATAACCACTCTGTGGGATCATTGTTATTGCCTGTGTTTTGCAGAGGAGGAAACATACAAAGGTGATGTGCTCAAAGACACGATTCACGGCGGCAGAGTCAGGGCTTCGTTCCAGAGTTTCTGATCAAAGACTTGCATGCTGCAAAGTTTCATTCCATGTCCCCTCCGAGGGTGGCGCTCATCAATTCTTAGGCCTTCGAGGGAACTTGCCAGTGGAGATAACTCTTGTGTGGGAGTTAGGTGTCCGTGATGTTTGCAGGGGTATGGAGTGGATGGAGGAGTTGCAGAAGAGATGCGGGGATTTCAGACAAAGGCAAGACTGCATGAACACATTCATTGAAATGAAAACCAGCATGGTTTTAGGGTACAATGAGCAGAGCATGGAGGACTGCAGAGCATACAGGAGCAGGTTGTGGAGGGCTTTCACAGCCACGCCCAGGAGTTTGGAGTCATTCTCAACCCACGTGCTAGGCCACGCTTAGTCCATGATTTGCTCCCGAGGGCCTAATCTGAAGCCTCCACATGTGGTTGGGAAGTAAAGGACTGCACAATTAGTAATGTCCATGCTTGTAGCAGTCTTTTAGAAGGTGTATTGCTAGTGAGTGAGGTGCTACCATGGGGATGCCTTGAAAATTCTCTTCTTTCTATTGATTCCAGTCCAATCCCTTCTAATACAGTATTTTACAATAATTTTTGTGTCCTCCAAGTCAGCAGCTGGGCTGAACTGTAAAGCTCTTAGGGTCTCATGCACCTGAGAATGATTTTCTCTACAACCCGTGAATTCTCTCTCCCACTCAACCCTGAGCTCCTTGAAGACAAACTGCGTTTCTGTTCATCCTTGCACTCCCCTCCTGAAATTCCCCCACCCCAAACCCCTTGGCGCTCAATGGCGCACCCTGTATGGGGCGGTACGTACTTTATAAAAACAACGGTGCATGAATTGATAGCATTTAGGTCTCTCAAAACACCTAACGCCAAATTGATCAAGGCAGTCCTTTCCCAATTGCTGAAGAAAAGGATCAGAATGCACACGGAGGCCAAGCAACACGTTGGGGGCAATGCGGCATGTCAGTGGGGGGGCCTCCCTGGGAAGCTGGCATAGAGGCACCTGCCCAGTGACGACGGTGATCAGAACACCGGGGAGATGGAAGCCACTGAGTCTTTCTTCTGCCTGTGAGAGAGCCCTTCCCTTGGCTTAGCAGGACTGAACGTGTCTTGAGCAGAAATTCCATCACCGTGGACTACTCCCTCACTGCCTCCTCCCCTCATAGTACTGGGGAACTTATCCAAGCTTGTCAAAATTAGATGACAAAACCACTCCACAGTCTGAGTCTAATTCTGGACAACACATGTTCTGGACAGTATCTGACAGATCTCTGGTTCTCAATAAAGATCGTTATTCATAGTAATGATAACAATCCCCTGGGCCCAAGCTCTCATTCCGCTCGCCATACAGTGCAATGTGGTGCAGGGCGGAGTTCACTGGCTTCCCAATTAAGAGAATTCCGTTGTAAAAGGACCCAAAGGGCCTCACTTAAAGGCTGCCTGAGAAATAGTATCGTGTCAGTGCAGTTTAGTCCAGAAAGTGTTTATCCAGGCACGGTCCTCTGCCACGCCAGACGTCAAGGTAGCTTTATAAAGCAAAGCACCAGGCACAACCTTCATGTCAGAATGCTTTTGTGCCTCCTTCATTTGTGTATATTTTTCTGATTTCCTCTCTCCCAGTGATTTCCCCCTAAAATGGCTATGTAGGGAGAATTACATAGAAAGCGGTCTCGATCGTCACTGCTTCAGTGATCTTCGTTATCCTTCAGTATTCCCAAGTTCGTCTTCTAGTTTACCCAGTCACACACACAAAACAATTTGGATCTGGGTGATGATGAAAACACTAGAAATAAAATATTATAATACTCACTGTTATGTACCTTTCTATGTACCAGACGCTCTGTGTCTTTATATATCTGTTTTCATTTGTTTCTCATACCTGAGGAAGTGGGGACTTTTTTTTTTTTTTTTTGAGGCAGGGTCTCACTTTGTCACCCAGGCTGGAGTGCAGTTACACAATCTCAGCTCACTGGAGCCTGGACCTCCTGAGCTCAGGTGATCCTTCCACCTCAACCTCCCAAGTAGCCAGGACCACAGGCATGCACCACCATACCCACCTAATTTTCTGGTTTTTTTTTTTTTTTTTTTTGAGAGATGGGGTTTTGCTCTTTTGCCCAGGCTGGTCTCAAACTCTTGGGCTCAGGCGATCCGCCCACCTCAGCCTCCCAAAGTGCTGGGATTACAGGCATGAGCCACCGTGCCTGGCCTCTCGTTATTTTACCCTCAGGGCTCAGAGAGGGTAACTTGAGCAAGATCACACAGCTAGGAAGAGGTGGAGGTGGAGTCAAACGCAGCCCCTAGCTCCTATGATG